AGTGTCTCTATTCATAGCTAACCTTCAAGGTTACTTCAAAACCCTGGGAAAATGTCTGGTAAGAGACCTGATTGGCTGATATCTGGAAGAGAGATTTTAACTTCGTGATAGTGTTTTTAGTGTTACTCTAAGCCCAGGGGAGTTTCTTGAAGCAAAAAACAAACGAAAGGAAAAACGCATTCAGGAAATAATTCTTTGCTAATAAGGATGCTCCTTGAACATTTATTAATAATCCTCTGGATGCAGGTGACATGTGAGTCTTGGGAGTTTCTGAAACTGTCATAGAAAATTCTAAAGGGGAGGAAATTCTATGAGGACAGGGGGTGAGGCTTTATCTGAGACTATGAGAAGAGGAAAACAGAAGGAGAAAAGCTAGAAAAGGAGGAAGAAAAGGAAAGATACAGAGGCAGGGCTGGGAAGTTTGGGGATATACTGTCTATCACAGCTCTGAAAAAGGTGATCTAAAGATAACCTTAACCACCTTCTTTTCTCTTTCTAAACAGGGGTCAGTGGTCAGCAGATGAATCAGAGTCCTCAGTCTATGTCTATCCAGGAAGGAGAGGATGTCTCCATGAACTGCACTTCTTCAAGTACATTTAACACCTTGCTATGGTACAAGCAGGACACTGGGGAAGGTCCTGTCCTCTTGATAGCCTTATATAAGAGCGGCGAATTGACCAGGAATGGGAGACTGACTGCTCAGTTTGGTATAACCAGAAAGGACAGCTTCATGAATATCTCAGCCTCCGTGCCTGGTGATGTAGGCACCTACTTCTGTGCCGGGCAACACAGTGCTCCCCAAGCACCTGCAGCCTGTACTCAAACTTGCAGCTGGGACTGCAGTCTCTATGCTGCCTTCAGCTCTTAGTCCTCTTGGCATGAAATGTGATTATGCATGCCACCTATGACCTTGTTATTCCATTACTCTGTTATTCCAACTCTCCTTTATCCAAGGATTTGTTCCTCCAAAGATTGTGCTCTTTGCTTGATGAACTTGCCCCTGTCGATTCATTTTTAATGTATATAATAGATTTTCTTTGTTATTTCCATCAAGATATGAGGAGAATTGATCAACACACAATTACAGAATATTTTAATAAATATCTCTTAAAACGGATTGATATCAATAAAGAAAAAATGAGAGTCCAGAATAAAATAAATCCATAAGTCTACGGCCAATTTATTCCAACAAGACCATTCAATGGGAAAAGAATAGTCTTTTCAATAAGTGGTGCTGAGACCACTGGACAGCCACAGTTGGATCTCTGCCTTACACATGTACAAAAGTTAACTCAAATGGATTAAAGATTTAAATGTAAGATCTGGAAGTACAAATGCTTAGATGAGAACATAGTTGTAAATCTTAGTGACCTTGGACTATGCAACAGCCTCTTACATACAACACCAAAAAAAGCAACCAAAGGAAAAATAGATAAATTAGGCTTTATCAAAATTAAAATCTTTGTGCATCAAAATTCACAAGATTTGCCACAAAGGAAAATGAAAATATAACCCACATAATAGAAGAATATATTTGCAAGCCATGTATATCTAATAATGATCTAATATCAATAATATATTTTTAAACCCCTGCAACTTGAAAATAGGACAAATGCCAATTTTAAAATGGTCAAATGATTTAAACAGTCATTGCTCCAAAGAAGACACACAAATGGCTAAAAAGCATGTAAAAGGATGCTCAACATCATTATTCATTGGGAAAATGCAAATTAAAACCACAATGAGCTGCCACATCATACCCAGGAGGATGTTAATAATTTTTAAAAAGGGAAGAAGAAGAAAGAGAAATGGAAAATTATGTGTTGATAAGGATGTGAGGAAACTGGAATCCTCATCTGCTACTGGTAGGAATGTAAAATGCTACAGACACATTAGAAAATAGTTTGGCAGTTTCTCAAATGGCTAAACGCAGAGTTACCATTTGACCCAGCAATTGCAGTCCTAGACATCTACTTAAGAGGTCTAAGATATGATTTATTTCATTGGCCAGAACCACATCATATGGCCAGCACTAATTGCAAGGGAGGTTGAGGAAGGGAGCATTTAATTTGTCTAGCCCCCTTCTGAGACATGAAAGATGTCAATTGCAGATAAGTGTTGGGTTAACTATCCAAAAACATCTGCCACGTCATACTAGGTCCTCATTCCCCAGAAAAGATTCTGATGATACATCTTGATATTCTTATTACTGTTATTATCCTAACAGCATGTGCCAAAGGAAGCTGAAGTCTGTTAAGAGCTCTATAGAGCTGTTCAAATGTAGTATTGGTTTTGCTCCAAAAAATATACTGTAGATTTTCTTCCTTGCAAATGTCCTGCGGGAATCAGTAGCTCTCAACAGGCATCAGCTGATGTTTCAGAGGGAAAATGGTACACTGCCCCTGACAGTGATATGGGCAGTTCCAGGCAATTCATAAAGCTAATAGCTTTAAAGTCTCACAGAGAACATCATGTTCTTAAAAGTCAATATGGAATTCACTTCCCTCTCCCTGAGGAGCAGTCCCCTGAAAACCCAGCACAATATTTCCGTGGGTCTCACATGTGTATATGATATAACCCTCAAAATCCTAGGAATGTTTTAATTGAGGTAATACTTTTACAGGTATTTATAGGATCTCCATCACAATTGTCTTACAATTAGGAACTTAAAAAATGGGTATTAGCTAACCACAGATAAACATGTTTTCTTCTCCCCTCCCCATTCCCATTCAGCTGTGTGTAGACAAATCTACCATCTGAACTTTCTCGGTGTTGAAGCTATAGATTATTTTATAGCAGGTTTTCTATTTTATTTTATTTTTAACTTTTATTTTAGGTTCAGGAGTACATACGAAGTTTATTATGTAGGTAATCTGCATGGCACAAGGTTTTGGTGTATGGATTATTTCAACACCCAGGTAATAATACCTGCTAGGTTTTTCAATACTCACTTTCCTCTAACCCTTCATCCTCAAGAAGGCCTGGGTGTCTGTTGTTCCCTTCTTTGTGTCCAGGTGTACTCAAGGTTCAGCTCCCACATATAAGTGAGAACATGTGGTATTTGGTTTTCTGTTCCTGTGTTAATTTGTTTAGAATAATGGCCTTCAGCTCCATTCATGGTGCTGCCAAAGACATGATCTCATTTTTTCTGATGGCTGTGTAGCATTCCATCATGTATATGTACCACATGTTCTTTATTCAGTCTACCATTGTTGGGCATTTAGGCTGACGTCATGTCTTTGCTATTGTGAATAGTGCTGCCATGAACACACATGTGCATGTGTCTTTATGGTAGAACAATTTATATCCCTTTGGGTATATACCCAATAATGGGATTGCTGGGTTAAATAATAATTCTGTAGAAGGCTTTTTAAAGTGTAGGCTAGTATTGAAAGTACAGATTGCCCTATTCATTTCTGTGTGCACTTCTGTTCTTGGCACAAAGAAGATAGTCAAATAAAAATGTTACATGAGAGGCTCAGTGTGGTAACTCATGCCTGTAACCTCAGCACTTTGGGATGCTGAGGTGGGTGGATCACAAGATCAGGAGATTGAGACCATCCTGGCCAACATGGTGAAACCCAGTGTCTACTTAAAAAAAAAAAAAATAGGTGGGCTTGGTGGTGCATACCTGTAGTCCCAAATACTCAGGAGGCTAAGGCAGGAGAATTACTTGAACCCACAAGGCAGAGGTTGCAGTGAGCCGAGATTGCGCCACTGCACTCCTGCCTGGCAATGGAGCGAGACTCCTTCTCAAAAAAAAAAAAAGTTATGTGAATTAAGGTGCAAGATGGTAATTAATTATCTGTGTCTCTGTGCCACCCAGAAATGCAGAAGGAAACTTATAACCAAAAAACAGTGGATAAAATTATCTGACCTTCATGGGAACAGTACAAACTATATTCTTAAGCAGTAATAGAACAAGGCATTAGTTACTTTATTGTGGTGTTGTCAGATTATCAGTCTCTTACTTCATGTTTCTGGGTTTTGTTTCATGCTTAAGATCAGAGAATTAGGCCAAATTATCATTGTCACAAAAAAAGTAGTCTTGGAAACCAAGTGATCCATTACTTCATCTCTACTGGGCAACTCAGCTTTTCTGGAATGCAAATGTGTTTGTCTTCACCTTGAGATCTGAACTTTCTAATTAGTAATTCTTTTTCTTAGTGATTATAAAGATCAAGCAAGAAACTACTAGTCTTCCCAGACTTGGACACTACCTACATAGATTATATGTATTTTACTAAAAATAGACATTCCTAGACGATGACAAGAAAACTATGTAATAACATTTATGGGATGGAATGCAAGCAAAGCTGTACTCCAAGTGTATTAGCGAAGACCAAACTATTCTAACAAATATATGCCAAATGTTCAGAGGCTTAATGAACAAAGCTTATTTGTCTTTCTTGTGAAAATCTGGAGCAGATATTCCAGTTCAGCAGATGACTCTCCCTTACATGGTCTTTGAGGAACTGAGGTTATTCTCATTTGGGAACTCTGCTGTTTCTCAGAGACTTGCCATCATCTGCAGGGTCATGGCCTGGCTATGCCAGGTTTCAGTTAGCAAGGAGACGAAAGCATGGGCATGGAGCAGGCATGACCACTCCCTTAAGAATCCTGGACAAGAAACAATAGAATTACTGACTACTGGAATTATGGACAGCTTTGGGTAGCCTGTTCTTCAATGGTGAGACAATTGTGGAAGTATCTACCATCATTCGTAAAACACGTGGACACAAGTTTTCAGCTATTCTGCACCAGCTCACAAGATGGCAGTGTTCTATTTTGAATGATTCCCATGGGTGATGGAGTGGGAGGGATTTGAATTTGAATAGAACCAAATGACACTTTATTTTTTAATAGTTGGCTGAATAGCCAAATTGCTGTTTCCCTTTTTCTGAGAGAGAGAGAGAGAGAGAGAGAGAGAGTGTGTGTGTGTGTGTGTGTGTGCGCGCGCACGTGCACGCGCGTGCTCATACACATGCACATGCTAGGGGTGGAGAGTGATGGTTCAAAAAGAAAAGGAAGCGCTTAGGGCAGTGAATCACATTTTGCCCAGGAAAACACACTTGATAATTGAAGGATGATGAAGTGTCCACAGGCTTCATTACTGATCTTTTGGCTTCAACTGAGCTGTAAGTAGGGTTACTACGAAGAGTCAGGGGCAACCAGGAAACCTGAGGATTGATCCTCAGAACACTAAGAGGGTAAAGCAGACTTCATTCTGACTTATCTGGGAGCCCTATGGTTTCAATGGTGAATAATTATTACATTCTTCTTCACAGGGGTGAGCAGTGAAGACAAGGTGGTACAAAGCCCTCCATCTCTGGTTGTCCATGAGGAAGACAGTGTAACTCTCAACTGCAGTTATGAAGCAGCTAACTTTCGAAGCCTACTATGGTACAAGCAGGAAAAGAAAGCTCCCACATTTCTATTTATACTAACTTCAAGTGGAATTGAAAAGAAGTCTGGAAGCTTAAGTAGCATATTAGATAAAACAGAACATTTCAGCATCCTGAACATCACAGCCACGCAGACCAGAGACTCGGCCACCTACCTCTGTGCTGTGGAGGCACAGTGCTCCCTAGTCACCTGCAGCCTGTACTCAAATTCTACAGTTGAGGCTCTGCAACCATAAGATGGGGAACTTGCTATGTTGAGCAAGCCCTCAAAAAAAAAAAAAAAAAAAAAACTCTAAGGAAAAGCAGTTATTGGTCAAGACTTTTGTGCCCATGTTGACAATTACTTTTGCAGTTTACTGAGTCCTAATTCAGATGAGTCTTGTCACTGCATTCACTACCTTCTCTGTGATTTTTCTGTGGGATTCAGCATAGCTAATATTTCTAGAGGGTCACTCAGGATACTAACTCCATTACCACACCATTAGAAAGCGAGGTCTTTTATCAGGATTATATGGGCAACTCATATGTGCACTACACATTAGGGAATCTGCCTAACAGCTATGGATGTTTTATCTTCTTCCACAGAACAGATACATTTATAAATACAGTTCTGCCTGTAACATTTTTTTGCTGGACCTATTAGCAAAGAACAAAGGGTAGGAACAAGTAGGTATCATTCATTACCTGATTCAAACAAAAGGTTTTCATTCACAATTTTATTATTCTTACTTACTATCTTCATTTTAGGATCGTTGCCTATGCTAGGCACTCCATTAAAGTGGTGATAAAATTTTTTCAAGATGTTACACATTAATTTGAATATTTAGTACCTTAAGCAGCCTACCAAAGGAAAGGAGTTAGCTGAAGTAAGTTATATGAAGCTAACATAAACTCAGCCTACTTATGTTGTGATACATTCTTTCAATTATGTAATCACATATATAGTACTTACAAAGAGCTTGCAATGGAAGTACTGTTTATCAAAAGCAAGTACTATGTGCCTTGTATTTTGCAAATATCACCTCATTGAATTCTCAAAATAACGATGAAGGATCATCAATATTACTTTCAGTTAACATATTAGGAAATGCAAACTTAGAAAGGTTAAGCCCCCTTCCTCACCCTGTACCCCAGACAAGTAGCTATCAGAATCTGAAATCAGGTCTATCTGACTCCAAAGTCTATACTTTCTCCATTACATGCCCCAGTGTTAAACATCACCGAGGAAAAAATTTACCCACAGTGTGACCACAATTATGTACAAAATATGTAGACAAAATACTGAAATAACATGTGTTTAACATGTAAATAAAATAACATTTACAATAACATGTGAATAAAATGTCTCAAAAATGTTTGCAACAGTATGAGTTATCTTTGAATATTAGATCTAATACTGTTCATTGTTTTGCTCCTTTATAATAATCTTTATTTTTCAAATTATCTACTATTAACTCAATACTAATCATTATTTCAGAAAGAAAAATACACATTTTAATACACCAAAATCCAAGGAGGCTGAACTGTATCATATGATTATTATCTGACACTCATAGTAGCTTAATTACAGTGAGGAATAGACACAACTCTACATAGCCAAATGATATAGCATTAAAACAAGGTTTTTTATTGCTAGCTCTTCAAATCACTGTGGACTAATGCTCTCTTTAATTGGGGATGTTTTAAAGTTACAAGAAGACCTGTTTCTCCTGGCAAGTTATTTGAAGGACTGTCCTATGAGTAGAATGCTTTACTATCCCATCTCTGCGTAGGAGAGTATAGGCAGTAAAGGCTACCTGTGCGTGCTTGTGAGTTTGTTAGAAAAGTCATTGCAAATTGAGCATGGTTTAGGTTTCACTGCCTGGGAAATGGGGAGATAGCCTAAGAAAAGGGCAGCTAAGCATTCAAAGAGGAGGGGAAGAAATGGTATAAAAATTAATAGAACGTATCCTGCCATTTTTAGCCCGCACAGACTTCTGTCCATTTTTCTTTCTCTCCTCCTTTCTATCTACACCAAAACCCAGAAATCACATAGTGGACGTAAGAGGAAAATCTGACCGTCATTTATTTTAGGCTAAAAAATAGAGTGGAAAACCCTATGTAAGACACTTGTTGTTTCTGGCTCTGTGACTGGAAGAGTTTATGATTTAGAAGCCAGAGATGTGGCTGTCTTTGAGGGGAATGTGCAGACGGAAGGGGGAAAGTTTCTTCTTCACTCTTTATTGTTTTCTTTCCTAAGGAGAACCAAACAATTTACACCTCAAAAGATTAACCTCTCACCAAAATAACATGTATTCTAAGACTAAACATTCATTTGTTACAAAAGAAAAAACAAATTTAAGAAACATCTATAACCTCAACCTACAGACATTACCACTATTAACTATTTAGCATTTTACTTTCCATTTCATCTGTGTCAATGAATATGAAAAAATAAGTCTAGAGAGATGTGAGGAATTCAACTTATTTCAAACAAAGAGTGTTTCTCAAAGTCACTGCAAAAAGAGGTGTTTTTGTTCCTTAAAAAAGTCTACATGGTTAAGATCCTCCCACTTTTGACCTGTGAGTTGTGATAAAAAGCTTCCAGAAAACTCACCTCAGTAAATTGATTATGAAATGCTACCAGTTTGAAGCAGTCACTGAATAACATAAGGTCATAAATTAGGAATCCAGAAGAAACAATGAATAGCAACTTTAGCACTGGCTCTCCAAGGTAGCAGCCCTATCCTGTACCTAGGGTGGCCCTTCTGGAGAAGGTGGCTGGTTTGACCTATGACTGATGAGTGTTTTATGTTGCAGGGCCTGGAAGAGAAGCTGGATCAAGCCCCAGGAGACAGAAGTATCTGAAACAGAAGGGAAGGCTGTGCACCTACTTTGTAACTATGGTACATCATCTGGGAGCTATCTTGATCTCTACCTGTTTTGACACTGTCCAAACCAGGCACCAGAATACATTCTTTACAGAGGGTGGGGATACTCTGGAAAAGGAGATGCCAATTTTGCCATAGGAAAGTTTTATTAAAAGAGTACAGCAAATGCAACAAATTTGTACATTGGAAATCTGGTTCCTGAAGACACTGCCTTATATTACTGAGTGCTGAGAGGCACAAACAGAACGCTTCCCAGGGTTGTCATACAAAAACACCAGTGCACAGGAGGAAGGAGAGTGTTTGTTGTAACCACACTGATTTTTTTTCTTGCAAAGACATCATAGTAAGTGGGAGACACTGGATCAGGAGAATTCTGCTTTAATAATAGCTACGTAATAATAATTGTAGGCAAATAGCTTAAGCTTTTAGTGTTTCCATTTTTTTTAATGAGATAGCAACTCTAATTTGCAAGCTTTTATGAGATATGGCTTTAACACTTGGGTTAAATGCCTAGCATGTCCTACATGCTCAGCAAATGGCAGGTATCTTTTCTTACTCTCTGTCTCTCTCTAACTACTTTAACCTCAAAGGAACCTTCTCTTACTATCTGAGAATCTTCTATACACTCCTGCTGGTAAAATAGTAATAATAACCCTAAAAACATACATCCAAGACCTAGATAGAGAAGGCTTCTTTGCCCAGGGATTATTGGTCATTGTTCCAGGCTTTTTGCATGCTCAGCTGGACATGGTGGCTTATGCCTGTAATCCCAGTACTCTACTAAAAATACAAAAAAATTAGCTGGGCATGGTGGCACATGCCTGTAGCCCCAGCTACTTGGGAGGCTGAGGCAGGATAATCACTTGAACTGGGGAGGTGGAGGTTGCAGTAAGCCAAGATCCCACCACTGTACTCCAGCAATAGAGCAAGACTCTGTCTCAAAAAAAAAAAAAAAAAAAAAAGAAAGAAAAGAAAAAAAAGTGCATGCTCAGCAAATGCAACAATTAGAGGGAAAAGGGGCCCTGAGACACTAGCTCCTGAGTTCATAGCCCTGGACAGTTGAGAATTTGTCACAATCTGAACAAGAACAGGAGAGGGTCCCTCACAAGACTAAGGAGAACAGAAGGACATTTAGCATTAGGTGGGTGGTGGAAGAGAACAGAGAATTCTTGGGAAGACTACAACCATGGTCCTGTGTCAGCTCTGACTCCCTAGATGGAGTTGAGAGGCCAAGTGAGGCAGTGGGTCCTCAGCCTACCTGGCAGAGCAGGAGGGCACCTGCCACCTGCTGTACTGGTTTAAGCCACACTCCTAACAGAATCCTATCATTTAATCTGGATCTGAGCAAAGCCTAGCATCTTTGTTTGGACTGGTGATAGATGAAAGGTAAAAGAGGAAGGAAGATTTAGAGCCTTATTCCATACAGCTCCACCTCTGTGGATTTGCAGGGCACCACCCCGGCAGCTTCTCTCACAGGTTGTTGAGCGCCTGTGGCTTTCCCAGGCACAGGGTGCAAGCTGCCAGTGAATCTACTATTCTGGGGTCTAGAGGACAGTGGCCCCTTTCCCACAGCTCTGCTAAGCAGTGCTCCAGTGAGGATTCTGTGTGGGGCCTCCAACTCCTATTTCTCCTCCACACTGTCCTAGTAGAGGTTATTTGTGGGGGCTCTGCCCCTGCAGTCGTCTTCTGCCTTGCCACCCAGGCTTTCTCATATATCCTTTGAATCTAAGTGGAGGCTGCCAAGCCTCTTTCACTCTTTCATTGTGTGTGCCTACAGGCTTAAAACCACATGGAAACTGTGGTATTATGGCTTGAACCCTCCAAAGTGGCAGCCTGAGATGTACCTGGGCCCCTTTGAGTCATGGCCAGAGTGGCCTGGATGTGGAGAACAATGTCGAGGCTGTGCAGGGCAGCAGAGTCCTGGGCCTGACCATTCTCTCCTCCTAGGCCTCAAGGCCTGTGATGCGAGGGACTGCTGCAAAGGTCTCTGAAATGCTTTGAAGCCTTTTCCCCATTGTCTTGACTATGAGTATTTGGCTCTCTTATGCAAATATCTCTAGCAAAAGGTTGCTTCAGTGGCTTGCTTGAATTCCTTTCCTGAAAAGTCGTTTTCTTTCTCTGCCACATGGCTAGGCTGCAAATTTTCCAAACTTTTACACTTTACTTTTTTAAATATAAATTCTAGCTTTAAGTCATTTCTTTGCTACTGCATCTGAGTATAGGTTATTAGAAGCAGCCAGGTCACATCTTGAATGCTTTGCTGTTTAGAAAATGCTTCCACCAGATAACCTAAA